CTTCTTCATTCACGTCCACGTTAGCGGAACTAGCGCCCTCTGATGTCAGCGTGGGATATTGAATGAACATCGATCGTCGATCCCGCTTTGCATGCATTTGTGTTATTACAGGTTCCGTTTTCTTACATTCTGCGCCTATGTGACCGAACTCATTACACCTAAAATATTTTACACCTCTTTGACAGGAACTCGACAGATGCCCTTTCTCACCGCACTTGTAACAACGTTGGAATGTCTGTCCTCCAGTTTCCTGTTGTGCCATCGGTTTCATTACTGTTACCTCTCTTTTGCTTATAGTACTCTTCTTGGTTTTCTGTTTGTAACTTTCATACAATGCTATTTTCTCCTTGAGCACTGAATAGGATGTAACACCATAGAATAATAATTTGTTTGATTCGTAGTCGTTTATGCCATCGACTATATACTGTATGGTGACGTAGTCTGCAAACTTAGCCCTTTTTCCCAATTCTTTCATGACAAGCATGTATTGATAAACCGTTTCATTAGCCTGCTTTTTCCGATTACTCATCATTTCATGCATTTGTTTGGAATTTATAGTATCAGGAAACTCCTTCATCAGAGCCGTTCTAAATTCATCATAAGTTTTAAATGCTTTTTTCCGTCTTCAGCCATAATTGTGCAGTACCAGCCAAGCACCTCCGCGCGATAATTAGCCGTTGTAGTTGGTTCCATCCGAAAATATCTGCGTTGTCTTCAATATCCTGCGTCCATTTTGCAGAGGAATACGTCATATCATCCCCCGTAAACTTAGGTAGGGAATCCATCAGGAAGAATGGATTATTTTTACCATCGTCGTTATTGCTCTCCATCATCTTTAACCGTCGTAAATATTATCGTCGTTATTTTAAAGTGACAATTAATACGCTTCCTTTGTAACACGTAATGGCGGCTGGCGTACGTGATCACTTTATCTCGTTATTAAAATACCCAAAAATCACTTTAAGCCCGTTATCCCGGACGAGAATTTTGTAGGCGTAGGATAAATAAAATCTTTATTTTGAGTATATTGTTACTATTTTCATCTTTATTTAAATTACTACATTTTAAGACACAGATACACGTTACTTGTTCGTGGCGTCGTTGCGAAAAGTCCCTCAATCCCTTTTACGTCATCCATCCTTCTCATTCACACAATACTTCGTTCAAAAATCATCTTTTACTCAACTATTAAATAATTAATCCTATATATATATATATATTATTATACATATACATATAAAATAATTAATATATATATATATATATATATTTGATCTGCACAGTTTTTGCTGTAGGGAGAAGGGACGGAGATCTCGTCGTCGCAGGTTATTTGGTAATAGGTGTTATTTTTTTGCTAGTCTCTCTGCGACCGCTGCGTCTCTGTTCCTAATTGCCATTTTAAGGTTGTAGTCTCTTATCTTGCAGGTTGATGCCGCCATGGCTTTTTGGATAAGGCGGCCTGCTGCGTCATCACAGTCGTCTGTGTAGTAAACACAGCTGACCGTGTGCCGGGATACCGCCACTACGTCATGCTGAACGCTGTCGTGCAGCTGTAGCTTGCTCACTTTTGTACGCATGACAACGACTGACCCGTATGTTAGTCTTTGTGCTTCATGGATGGTGAGAACCCGCGAACCGTTGCCCGATCCATATCCCTGGTTGATAAGGGCCTCTTTTTCCGCCTGGGTATAGACTAGGAAAAGCGTTTCTGGACGAGTTTTCTGTATTTGCGAGTTGGAGTATCTTTCGATACTCAACGAATGCACAAGGGATCTGGAAGAGTATATGCCACTGTATATTTCGTTGAGAGCATATGCTACATCCATCGGGTTCCTATGCGTACACAGCAGTTCCTGACTGACGCCTGCCACTAGGTTTGGGCGAGTGTACTGCATCGAAAAGAGGTTTTCTCTGTCAATGTAGGGTTGGTTGATGTCACCAATCAGCAGTATTTCTTTAGCTTCGCTCAGTCGCATTGCCATCACAATGGCTCCAAAGTGGTTCATAAGGGCTTCGTCAACCATGAGCCGAGTACAGGTCTTCTTCTCTGGCTCTTTGAACCCATTTACCAATACCGAAGCCATTGTGCGCACTTTGGTATTTGCACTGGCGCCGACGCGACTAGCAAGCTTCTCGCGAAGATCCTTCGCCGCCTCTATTGTTGTGGTGATCACAACGTCCCTCCCTGTGTCAAAGTTCTTGACGATCCACGTTGTTTTGCCGCAACCGGGAACCCCTTGATCCATCTAATGTTCGGCACCGTCCAGTCTTTCCAAGGTGCTTCCGGATCTTGTGCTCCCGAGACGGCGTTTGCCATGCTTAGGATTCTGTGGTTCAGCATAACCTTGGTGCATCTAGCGGTGACGACTATCGGGTCGTCGGGGGCGGCTTTAAACGTTGGGTGTCCCGTTTGTTCTGTCCTTTCCTCGTCCAGCTCGACGAAGCCAAGAGACTCGTTATAGGCTGCCATGTGCTGCCTCATGGTTCCCTTTAAAACCTCTGAGGTGGTGTTGTTGTAGATGGCTGCCTCTGCTTCCACTAGTTTTGTTTGGAGAAGACTGTCATTGTTTCTCCTGTATGCTTGCAGAATTTCTCTGCATGTCATTAAGTTGACTTCCCTCGTCGCTCTTGTGAGGGCCTGAAACTCGAGGAAGGCGTTTATTATGTGGTCTCTTGGATCATGTACTGGTCTTAAGATTGGCAGATTTACTTCTCCTTTTTCGGCTCTCGTAAGGGTGGAGTTTGGGCCTATTAGGATAGGATGCTTGGGAGGCTTCTTGGCTGTGGTCGCCTGATGGCTTTCGGTAAAACTTGTTAGCCTTTTCCTCGCGATCCCGGGTAAGCTCTGGGCTGCTGCGCTGAATGTTTTTAAGGCCGCATTGATCTTGTCTCTTGCGTCAGATCTCGCCTGGGTTCTTATTTGGCTTGAGTGTTCTCTCGTCGTGGATCTGTCACTGGCTGTTTTTTGTTGTTACCTCCGTAATATGTTGCATTCACGCGATTGAACATTATAAATGAAACTATTTTTACGGATTTATCTCCTTTATTTTTAGCGTTAATCATTTTATGTTTCAAGCTCCAAGTTTCCAGTCGCCCACTGGCATTTCAGTGTACCGTAGTAAACTGATTTTATTTCTTAATGGGAAAAAAGCGGCAAACGAGCAGAAGGCTGACCTGGTGGTAAGTGATTACCGCCGCCCAAGGTCTTACAAATGCGTTGCTGGCCTTTTAGGAAAGAGTATGTTCTCTTATTGAAGGTTTCTAGGTCGTAACGGTTCGTAATATCGTAGGCGGCAGCTGGTTCCACAGAGCGGTTGTGCGAGGCAAGAAATGCCTTGATATCAAATCTTAGAACTCAGTACCTAAGCCAATGATTTTTTAAATTGAATCGCGGATGTAAATTGCCATTAAGCCATCAATTAAAATTGAAAACTAGAGTTTATTAATAGCAGTAATGATTCTTACCAAAACTTTTTATGACAGCCGTGCCATGTCGCGAAGTATTGGAGCCGTCGGTAATAAACGTGATACTCGTAAAATGCCGTAAAAGTAATTTAATTGAAAAATTTTAGTATTTTGGATAATATTTCGGGAAATATCGTTAACTAGTTTAATATAAGTACTTTTTATAAGGAGTAAAAAGTAAAGTAACAGCCTATACATGTCCCACTGCTGGGCAAAGGCCTCCTCTATACAGAGGGTATCAGGGCATAGTCCACCACGCGGCCCCACTGCGGATTGGCGGACTTCACATATCTTCGAAATATATATTTTTTTTGTTATTATTTCGAAAATATGCAGGTTTCCTCACGATGTTCCCGCACCTTCCTTCCTTCACCGCGGAGCACGTGATACGTCAGCACTTAAAGTTAAAAACGTCATTGGTGCCGGCACCGGGGATCGAACTCAGGTTGCTCGAGTATATTGAATTAAAGGCGAGCGCCCGGACACTGAGCTATCACGGCTCTACTGAGCTATCACGGCTCTACGGTGGCTTGTAAGGAGTATTTATTAATAAATAAATACTCCGTGGCGCACTTGCCAAGTTATTGGCTTCGGTGTCGGGTTCGTGGGTTCGATTTCCACACGGGAGAACTATTTGTGCGACCGACTAGTTAGACAGGTGGTTTTTTCGCCTCTGGGTGTTTGACGTGAAATTTAAGTTTGTAAAACGTCCAATACTAAAATAATCCAATAATAAAACAACCCAATAATGTTATTCCAATGTAAGGACAATATTTAAAAAAAAATAGAATTTGAGTTTTTAATATGGAATAGTAAACGCTGTGTCCATCACACCAAATTTTCCAGCTGTGATAATCTACCCCACACGCTGTGACGCAAAATGTTCATTATGCAAAACTCGTATAACTGGTAGGGCCATGCAATAGTTTTCACTGTTGCACGAATGGGTAGGTCCGTCCGGGTAAATTACCCGGAGGACCACCTAAGTTTAGGTAGTATTTACCACGAACTCACAGAAGACCAGCGTAAAGTGGAAGTGTTTTCGTCTGTTGAGTGAGGTAGCCGGGGCCCACTTTATTTAACGTGCTACAAGTGTCCATGGGCGCGGTTATTACTTAACATCAAGTAAACCGCCAGCTCGTTTGCCTTTTTTCGAAAAAAGCTAAACAATTCCTGTATATCTAGGGAATATAGTTAAAATGCTTTCAACATTTATGCGAAATAGGGTAACCTCTAAGTTACACGAGTGAGACAAGTGGTCGCTTTCTTAAGGTCAAACTCAAAAGCTCGTAGGTCGCTGTATACAGGATACCCCTTTTTCCTTTTACTGTACAAATCCATTCCGTCACGAAATCAGGTTCCCTGACCTCCGCGCGGTCGGGTGATTAACGCACTTATATTCTAGTGCACAATTGCTCCAAAGTGCAGAACATGGTGACAGGTAAACGCAATGGGCGGCGGAGCGTGCCAAACTCCCTTTGTGCGGCGCTTGGTACGGTCGCCATTTTAGTGAGAGTTAAAATGCTTTCCCCGTGATGGCGAGATTGGACAGCCTTATAATCGATATCGTGTACACGGCGGTAAGTGAAATTTCAAAATCCGTGCGTAATTGGCACCTGAATGCGTCAACAGTATTTATCGTACGTCTCCTCTCGGCGTCTTCGAGAGGTTCCAACTTCCAATTGGCTTAAGCATGTCACCCGCGGTTATACCCGCCACTACGGAAAGGATACGTACACGTCGCGCGTTGCTAAGTTTTCGCGCGTTGCTAAGTTTTTATACGTCGGAACGGTTTATGTTTTACTATCGGCCCAGACAGTCCATTATGCGATTACTTTCAGTGAGAAACAATCTCACTGAAAGTAATCGCATTGGATTCTAAATGATTCATTAGCATACTACAGAACATATTTTAATTACAGATTAACAGCTACTACGTGATATGCTGTGCCTTTATATTTTTGTCTTACATCATTCTTAACTTACTCTTTCGAAGTCTGCATATTATTATCTAACGTTAATTTAAGTGTTCGTGATAAGAATTATGAATTTAAGAATGTCTTTTATTTTTTAGTATAAGTTAAATTAAGCAAAGTTATTTTATTTTTATAATAACATATTCTGAAATATGGGCTTTAAAGTTTATTGGTGGTTTATTTTCCACGTGATTTCAGATTACTTGTGTGTCAAACAATTCCACGTTATTTAAGTGTTTATCTGAAATATTTGTACGAGTTTTCTACTTATCAGTTAAATAGTAATCTGTTTGCCACAGCATTAAGATACTAATTCCTTATAGGAGCTCTTATATCTAATCGACAGCGCCAGCAGTGACTATTTCATAACTAATGAAATAGAAATTACTCCTGAGTACTTTTACATGCCTGGTATAGGGGTTTACGTTTTTAGGGTTCCGTACCCAAACGATTAAACGAGACCCTATTGTCAAAACTTTGCTGTCTGTCTGTTTGTCTATCTGCCTGTTTGTCTGTCTGTCTGTCCTGCCACCAGGCTGTTTCTCATGAACCGTGATAGTTGGACAGTTGAAATTTTTACAGATGTATGTCTGTTGCCGCTATAACAACAGATACATACTAAAAAACAGAATAAAAAATATTTAAGAGGGGCTCCTATGCGACAGACATGATTTTTATGTGATAAAATCCGTAAAACAATTTTATTTATACATATATTACTAGCGGACCCGACAGACGTTGTCTTGTACACACGACTTAAATCTGACAATATATAAATTAAAAAAATGAAAAAAAGTTGTAGTGTTCCGTATTGTGAATCTAAACTATTCTCAAATCAACTTCAAGACACACAAAAAATTTCATTAAAATCGGTCCAGCCGTTTAGGATGAGTTCAGTGCCATACACACGTACAGGAAAACTATATATATAAATAATAAGATTTGAAGTTTTATTTATTAGGGACAACACAAGAAATCATGTAATGTAAAGTTACAGCTAATGTATATCCCACCGCTAGGCAAAGGCCACCTCTGTACGAGGGTTACAGAGTAGGCTCAAAAGCTTTCCTAGCTCGGCGAAGCTTTGATGGTATTGTTTAGTTTTCTCAGGCTCATATAACTCATATTAAAATTATCAAACAAGAATGCTTACTTACATTTTTAATTTTGTTTGTATGAGACAACTTTTTTTTTATTAAATTGCAATTTGTTTACGCCAACACAATGTCGATTTATAAGAAAGGCTAATTAATACGCCTTAAATGTGTTAATTAGGAAACTGACGTACTATATTTTTTATTAAGTTTTATTTAATCTTATTTTGCGGACATTTGCGATGGCTATGTACAATAAAAAACCAACACAAAATATGTTTAATTCTTAAGAGCAAACCATGGACGTGCTAAAATTCTAACGGATGGTTAACTTTTAGCGGTTACGCACGCGTTGCGACGGAGCAAACAAGACAAGTTCAAAGTAAATACACAACAGGAAACCGGTTTCTCTCGCACTTTAAATATTATTGACCGTTTTTATGGGTTCCTGAATTATTATTGGAGCCGTTCCAAGAGCGACACACCAGGTCTCGTGACGGCCGATCATCTTGCGCTAATGCAATATGCGAAAATATTCATTATGTTGCTGTTTACACTTTGAAAATGGAGGTCGGCCAAAAAGCGCACTCTGTAGTCTAATAATGTCATAGAACCTGGAGGACCGAGCTTTGCTCGGTTTTATTTTTGGTAAATCATGTATTTTGGAAATAAAAAATAATGATCTGGTATAGAAAAAAAAAGTAAAAGAAATAAGTGTGTAAATGATCGTGATACGAACCGCGGCCGTCTGTTTTGGGGCCGCCCGATTACCGACCGAGCTATTATAACATTTTTTTGCGGCGAAATTTACTGTCATATTCGTATGATATTTTTCATTCCCCGAAAACAGGGACAAAAGGACATTTTCTAAAAATGAAACCTAGCTAGATCGTTTTTTCGCCCCCGAATCTACGCACATACTAAATTTCATGAAAATGGCTGGTGCCGTTTCCGAGATTCCGATTATATATATATATATATACAAGAATTGCTCGTATAAAGGATAAGAAAGATTTACTATGAAATATCCTTGCTAGTTATGCTGACCCGACATTGACGTTTAATTAATTGAAAGTAGTAGTTAATTATATACAAACCGGCCAAATGTGAGTCGGATTCGCACACCTACCGTATTTGTAGTTAGTAGAGGCAACAGAAATGCCTCATCTGTGGGAATTGCAACTGTCTTATTATCACGGTTCATGATATACAGCTAGGTGACAAACAGGCAGACAGTCAGCGGAGTCTTAGTAATAGGGTCCCGTTTTACCCTTTGGGTACGGAACCCTACAAACTATTTCGAAGATTATTATGTGAAGTCCGCTAATTCGCAGTGGGTAATCCACTGATACATTCTGTTCAGAAGGGTCTTTGCCTAGCTGTGGGACGGATAGAGGATGTTACTTGCAGTGGAGCCTCGTGGTGGACTGTGCTCTAATAACTAGTGGTGGATTTGAAGTCTTGGCCGCCCTAGGTCCGGGCCTATTGGGCCTTAGGGCAAATCAGCCACTGCTAATACCCTCTGTACAGAGAAGGCATTGGGCTTTCATTATCATCATCAACATTTCAGCCTGTTTGAGTCCACTGCTGAACATAGACCTCCCCCATAGACTGCCACGAAGTATTTTCCTGAGCCATCTGCATCCAACGACTTCCCGCACACTTGCACAGGTCGTCACTCCATCTAGTGGGGGTCGTCCCACACTACAATGGCCAGTACGAGGCTGCCACTCGAGAACCTTTCTTCCCCAACGCTTATCGGTTCTACGAGCTATATGGCCGGCCCATCGCCGTTTCAGCTTGCTAATCCACTGAGCTATGTCGGGCTTTGGCTTCGTCCTTGGCTCTGTGGGACGTAAATAGGATGTCACTTTACATCTTTTCCCTTCTGCAGGTCAGTATGTCGCGCGACAGGTCATCGCGTCGGTTCTACCGCGCCGACTCCACCCACGACCTGCTGTCCTACATGGACCGCGGCCAGGCGGCCAGCGTGGAGAACAGGTGGACCTTCGAGACCGCATGGGAGGCGGCGAACAAAGGTGAGGTCTCTCTCAGCTTTGGAGATACCTCGGATTGAAGCTGATGAAGATGAATACCACAGTAGAACATGTTTTGGAAATTAAGATTTGTAGAAAAAAAGCATGAAAAGTTACCCGCCGCTGCTGTGGGAATCGAACCCACGTCTGCGGGATGCTCTGACGCTTTAGCCACTAAGCTAAATGGCTTATTGCCACACCGACGGAAATCTCAACGACTCTTATCTACATTGTTTTTAGCATTTGAAGCAACGCTTGGCGCATCCATTGTTATTCCAGCATACAAACAATTTCGAATATCGTTTTACAACGATAATTCGAATGAGTGATGGCGCCATTGCTAATAGTAATTTTAAATTTTTATCCTGCTAATCTCTTCATTTAAAATTTAACATTAAAATGATATCTGTTTTTCTGTCTGAATGTTAAGCCTTCAGCCTATTCTACACAGACATAGTCGCGGGCTGCAGCTAGTATAGATGTAATTTGCACACGTATAGAGGACACTTTTTCACAAATTACTTGTATATTGTGACTCTATAGTCTGTTATTTTTCTTATTTTTCCTGTGACATTGAATGACTGAGCATTTGATTCTACACTAAAGTTGGCAGCGTCCGTACGAGCAATAGTTAGTTTTTGATCTCTTATTTCCGCTCCATTTCCCGCAAGGCCAGCCTCGGGAGTAGAATGGCGTTTTGTTCTCTCAAGGAGCGCTTGTATTACTGGAAACCGGTCACACACGTTTGCAATGTGACGCCGACCCGATTGCCTCAATCTTCCCAAGTCTCAAGATGCCCTCGTAATGTCTTCGCAAAGCGCTATCGGTCGCTATGTCCTTATAAGCTGGCTCCTTCCAGCTTTATTAGGGGGTAAAGTGAGCAGTTGTGGTAGAGAAGCCCCGCACGATAATCAATATAAAAAACCTACCCCGGTTTACAAAACTAGACCTGTCCGCAGGAAAACATAAGGAAACATACAAAAGTATTTATGTATAAAATCAGCAGCAACAATCAGTCAATAACTTCAACAAATTCTTCGATATTATAATAAGCCCTCTCTATTAGAGAAGCCTTAACACCCGTCACCAATTCGATTCCCACTACCAACTTTATCAATTTTGCGGCATTCCGTAAATTCGATTCTGTAGTACGAAGATAACATTCTCAACTGTCAGGTTTTGGGATATTGCAAGCTCTATGGCAATAACTTATAACAATACTGGGCTGTTGATGCCCAACAGCCCAGTATTGCTTGAAGCGATAGATTATAAAAAGATTAATAAAAATAAATGTAACCATCGGTGCATGATACGCATACTCCATTTTAAAAAACCAGGACAGTCTTGTTATTGATGATTTTAATGATTTTGTTTCAGTTGGCGGCATTTACACTGTCATCAGATCGAAGGCATACGTGTCGACAGAAGAAATGGGGGATAACTACTGTCTGTTGGGTGCGTTCAATTTTTGTCTATTACACTTGACCTCATCTTAAGCTTTACTTCGAAGCAACGACTATAGACTGTTTAAGTATATAGTCTTTACTCCTATTATACCGCTAGTGTATAATGGGTTGGGCTTCGTAAGTCATGGTATAATTTCATGTACATATAAATACATACAATTTTTTTTATGTGGGGTTGGAGACTATGAGAATAATAACAAAGAAAATTAAATAATAATAAATTTCTGGATAAACACGAATACAAAATCGCAAACGGGAGTTATTTTGACGTAGGCCAACGACCGGTTTCAATATTCTATCCATCTGTAGATTTGGATCCTGGCGATAGCTATTTGACACGAGCCCCATAATACTTACGTCAAAATTCTATCTCCAGTAACCAAATCTACAGATATGCAGATAAAATATTGAAACCGGTCGTTAATCAAATGTAACTAGTCTGCTGTGTCAGACATTTTCATCGTAGCATGCTAATGTTGTTGTTCCTTGTTTTGTTGAAGGGTTATACGATCTCCTTTGAAGTCTATTTGCAAAATTTGTCTCTTCATTTCACCTAAAACAGGCCTTCTATCAAATTCCCAAACTTCATTGGATAATCTTATCGAATTGGGTCTAAAAACTCAAGTCTTTCAATGTCCTGATCTTGCTTATGCATTTCGTTGACCTCATCGATTGTCAAGTCCTGACTCAAAGTCAAAGTCAAAATATCTTTATTCAATATAGGCTTATTTTAACCTCTTATTGAACGTCAAATAACTACCACCGTTTCACTAAACTATACCTGTCCAGAGAAGAACTGGCAAGAAACTGCGGTGTTATCTTTGTTTTATGATGTAAGTATACAAAATTATTTCGGTATAAAATTAGCAACAGCCAGGGGAATTGAAAATGCAGAGCAAGAGTCCTTTCCACACATCCTTGTTCACAATGTATACTTCGACTTTATAATGGGCCATTTCCATTAGGGTAGCTTTTACGAAATGTTTGAAATTGTTTACACTGCGCGATATTTTATATACTGTGGTCGCACTGTGCCTCTGCGTCTGCCGATGCGTGGATGGTGACCATACTGTTAAAGTACCACGGACTTTAAATAGTGAAATGTTTGCAGCTAGTTGTAATAAATTGATGGTTATTTACATTGCGTATAGCGTTTAATTAGTAATTACGAAAACGTGGTATGCGGTGATGCAAGAGGTCACTGATCTCTCTACTTACGCGGGTAACAATTTTCGTACATGTATAATATAATACATGTTAAATATAGCTCTTACAAAATCGGTATTTGTAAGGAATTTACGATAGCCTGAAAAGGGATGACTAGTAAAAATTGTTTTATTGAATAATTAGATCATTGTAAATTGTTAGTCTTGGAAAATCTTAAGTATTTTTAGTAAGTAAATCTTTCTTAAGTATTTTTTTGAGAAATTTCGATGGCAAATTCCAGGTAAGACGACCGCCATTTGTGTTCTAAGTTCAAGCTAGTAAGGCAAGGAAATGACACTTTCATTCCCTTACATAATATTCCCATGCAAAGGAGGTAAAAGATTCCTAAATCTTACAACCACGAAATTAATCCAAACTTTTTCAATATTTGGGTTACATCGATTCGTAGGGAAAGTATCATTTCTGTACTTTATTTAATTTGCGTTTATAGCAGCGTCATTTTTTTTCTTATCTGTGCCATAGTACCGTTCGTTTCCAATAAATTTTATTCTGTTCATTCGCTTTTATTTTAAATTCAATACAGTAAAAAAGGTTTATTTAACAAGTGGACGCAACAAGGTTACTGCTGTGTGCATATATACGGCATTCGATAGCGTTATATAGTCTTACATGACCCCAGGTCCATATAAGGAGCACTGCGCCAGGACCGAAGTGGAAGAGGCCGAATTTGCCCCCAACTCGCCCCTCACCACAGCCGTCAACGCGATGAGGAGCCAGGGCTACAAGGTGAGGACTTAGAAACTGCCGACGTACGTATGTAGTGTCTGGCGACGCCATTGGTATAGCGGATAGTAAACCTGTCTCCTGTGCCGGACGGCGTGGTGTCAATCCTCACTACTGGAAATATATTTTGCAATGAACATGGTGGTTTCCTAGTGTTTGCGTATTTTTTTTATGTGAGAAGGAGGCAAGCGATCTGGCGGTTCACCTGATGTTAAGCGATGTCCGCCGCCCATAGACATGCAACACCCGTAGGGTTGCAGGTGGAGGAATTCAAAATGTCTTTATTCAAATAGACGCTCGCGCGTTCTTATGAAACGTCGAAATTTCACATAAGTTCGTGAGTGAGTTACTATATGAATTATCAATACAGCTCGACACTGACATCGCAACATTTGTCCCAGCTTCACACCGGCACGTGGCTGGTGGACGGCAACCCGCAGATAATCCTCTTCGACGTGGGCTCCGCCGCGTGGCAGATGGACAGCTTCAAGCAGGAGCTGTGGGACACCTGCACCCTGGGCATACCACACCTGGACGTGGAGGCGAACGACGCCATCATCCTCGGCTTCATGGTCGCCCAGTTCATCATCGAGGTTGGACATACAAGCTTTACATTTTTATTTAACAGGTGAAACGTGTCCTTTTCTAGAAATTTAAATTGTTTATAGTGCTAATCTTTGCACTTAAGATTGAACATTAAAATATGTAGAAAAAGTGCGAAAAGATTGTCGCCGCTGTGGGAATCGATAGCACTATAAAAAACTTTAAAATTTATAAAAAGCAATGGCGACATCTCTCGTTCGAATTATCGTTGTAAAACGATATTCGAAGTTGTTTGTATGCTGGAAAGGATATAACAATAGATGGCGCCAAGCATTGCTTCAAATGCTAAGAAAACAATGTGGAAGAATGCGTTAAGATTTTCGTCATCGGTGTGGTAATCAGCCGTTTAGCTCATTGGCTAGAGCGTCAGGCCGCGAATGCCGAAGACGTGGGTTCGATTCCCACAGCGGCGACAATCTTTTCGCACTTTTTCTACATATTTTAACGTGTCCTTTTCCTTGAGAAGGTGGTAAGCAAGCTGACGGTACACCCGGTATTAAGTGATAACCGCCGCCCATGGACATATGCAACACCCGTAGAGTTGCAGACGCGTCGCCACCTTTAAACTAAGTTCCCCCCGGCTATTTCACTCACCAGACGAAACGCAGAAGTGTAACACTTCTACTTTACGCCGGTCTTCTGTGAGGTCGTGGTAACTACCCTGAAAACTGTTGCGTGGCCCTACCACAGTTATACTTAGGCGTTACTTTAGTTGGGCTTGTTACTTTACTTCTCTTTCTTTATCAACCTTTTTGCCTTTCGCAGTTCAGGAAGGCGGCCGAGAACTGGAGCGACACGCCTCCCCGCGTGGTAGCCCACTTCCACGAGTGGCAAGCCGGCATCGGGCTGATTGTTCTCAGGTCCGTGATCTCTAATGATTTTAACGGACCAATACTTTCGATTAACCATGAATCAAGCACGGACGTCACCGCCGATACCAGTAATAATAATAGTTTCATTTAACTATGGGCAATACGTATATACGGTGCATATATCAATATAATAATTTTTACAATTTTTGTCTGTCTGTCTGTTTGTTCCCGCTAATCTCTGAAACGGCTGGACCAATTTTGACGGGACTGGACAACTTTCACTGGCAGATAGCTGATGTAATAAGGAGTTACTTAGGCTTCTTTCAGGAAATTAGGAAATTAGGAAATTGTATTTATTTTTATTAATATACAGCGTGTCGTTACCATCGCGACAATAAATGAACACACGTCTAACGCTACTTGCCAATAATTATAAAAAAATATTAACGTTAAAAAACTCCATAATTAAAAAAAATTTTTTTTGAAACATACTAATTAAGTAAAAAAGAAACAAAACTTGTAACATCCTATACATCTCGCGCCACAGCGTCGCATTACAAGCCTCTCCTTCTAACAGTATGTTTTGTCTCTTTTAAATTCATTCAACCCATTCATATGCTTTGTGACCTTTACAAATGAACTTTACGTTACAGTTTTATACGCAAGGGTGTTCTAAAATTCTTTGTTTTGGAAAATTTAATAACTCTGTAAATATTGATGTTTAAAGAATGTAAATGTTTAATACAATTTAAAAAAGTTATCTCTATATGTGTGTTCATTTATTGTCGCGATGGTAAAGACACGCTGTATATGTTATAATTCCGCGGACGAAGTCGCGGGAACAGCTAGTTATACATTGTATTTAGTCAGTCAACGTGCATTGAAGCCTTTTCCTATCTTAATAGAGATAAGACATGAGCACTGTTGCTTAATATCTTCTTCTTTCTAAGGTCGAATCGGCACATGTAAATAATTTTGTAAGTGGTTTTTAACTACGTTTTTTTAATCAGCCAGCCTGACGGAAAACCTTCTTGGAACAAACAACCAGGTTCGGAACAATTATCTGTGGGTCTCGCGAATTCTTGTTCCGTATGGGTATCGAACCCACGACCCCCGGCGTCGAATGCAATAGCACAGCAACCGCACCACAGAATCATAACACTATGGCTTAATATATGTTCATATTTTCGAAACACCGACGTGGTGAAAAGGGGGTTCAAGCGTCACGCTACCCACCATCCTACCGGCCACCCTACCCCAGCACCTCCCAAAAGGGCGAGAGCTTTCATCGTTTACTTTGCTTATTTTTTTCCAGAGTACGCCACATAGATGTCGCGACGGTGTTCACAACGCACGCCACCCTCCTCGGCAGATATCTGTGCGCCGGCAACACTGACTTTTACAACAACTTGGATAAGGTAACTACAATGACCTGATATTTTATTACGATTCCAATGCGTCTTCAATGTTTTAAAAGAAAGAGTAAGAAAAACAATAGTAGACTAGTGCACGTGTCGCTGAGTAATAATTATAAAAAGATAGAATAGAATGGAATATACTTTATTGTACACGAGGAAATACACCGAAAGAAAATACAGGTACATAATTTTTACATAAATATAGTGTACATATAGGCGGCCTTATTCCAAAGGTAACAATTTCTTCCAAGCAACCTTAGTTGACTTAAAGATATTTCAGAATATATTTTTACATAACGTTATTTAGTCCTAACGCATGCAAAATTTACACTAAACTGTAAATCAATACTAACTATAGATATATATATCTATAGTTAGTATACTATAAACATCCAGACACTAGAAAAACACTATGTTAATTACACAACATTTTCCCAGTGGTATGATTCGGACCCACACCTTTCTAATGCTTGGGAAAGGTCCAATATCCACTACGCCAATGGGTACTTTTGCATCCGAAAAAATAAGGAATGTTTATTGTTTTTCGGATGCACTACGTGCAGTAAGATATCGGATGTACTCAACGAATGTGCGTTTGTCCCGCTCTAGTTCTCCGTGGACGAGGAGGCGGGCAAGAGACAGATATACCACCGGTACTGTATGGAGCGGGCGGCGGCGCACATGGCGCACATTTTCACCACCGTCTCCGACATAACGGGTATAACGGCTTTCATACAAACTCGCTGGGCTGGGGTTGATTTAACAAACTAGGATAGGAAACTATACATATCTTATAGAGTGATGACGGCGTTTTCCGAGCGGTTATTCCAAACGTATTGACTTCTACTGTCACACAAATTCTGGTCCCGTATGGGAATCGAACCCACGACGCCCGACGCCGAAGTCAATATCTTAGCGTCGGCGCGACCGAGTAGAAAACATTTTAATGTCTCTTTTTAATTAGCAATTAACGTTAGGCACGATCAATATTTCCAATATTACCCATCAACAAAGACCGAAGAAGATGAAGGACGAAAATCTGTCGGTATATGTCGGAAATGGTTTTTTAACATTATCACTTGAGCGTATTTCTAGATAGAAGAACATTTGAAGCTAGATCGCCAGGTCTAATCCCGATTTCTCTAGTAAGGACACCGCCATTTCGCGTAAAAACGAAAAAACAATTTAGCGGAAATTATTATTATGAAGGAAAAGCTAATGCAGCGGCCACTAGTGTAAAGTGTTAAAATACTCACATTTGAATGTTTTTTTTTAATGGTAGAATATTTCGGACACATTTTTTTTACGCAACATTCTCTAGTCCCAAACTAAGCAACGCTTATACCATAGACTAGAAAACTAATAAACATACTTAAACATACTTTTCTTCTGCAAATAAATACATATTATACATGTATAAACACCCAGACACTGGAAAAACGCTATGTTCATCACCACAATATTTTTCCAGTAGTGGGGATCGAACCCACACCCCCTGGCGCAAGAGGCAGGGTCACTACTCCCCACGCCAATCGGGTCGTGAAAGAAGAAGAAGGTGGCAATGCTGGCGGGTCACCTGATGTTAAGTGATAACCGCCGCCTGTGGACATTTGCAACACCCGTAGGGTTGCACGTACGTTGCCACCTCTTAATAAAGCGGGCCCCTCTCAACAGACGTAACGCACAAATACAATCGATCTTCTGTGAGGTCGCGGTATTACCTGACGGACCTGCCCACTCGTGCAACAGTTGCGTAACCATAGTTGCGTTTTCGCGTATAGCCCGTGTGTTTCTACGTATGTTTTAAGAGAAAACTCTTTGAGCATATCCTTGCTGATCTGATTTAGTCTTAGTTACAGTATAGTGTTTACTTTGATCGAACATCTGGTATGTATATATTTATAAATTTATATATATGTATATATTATATATATGTCATATAAATATTTAAGTATTTTTATTATGTATGTGTACTTATGAAATTATGGTTAAACGTGTATGTATGTATATGTAAGTATTACTAGAATTTATTATTATTATATGCATAGTGTTTAATTCTACTTTACTGCCCTATTCAATTTCTTTCTGTTTTACCTTGGGTTAGCTGGTAGAGATTGCAGTATAGCATTAAGCTCGCCTTTGTACTATAATTTTAAGTGCAATAAAGATTAAATAAATAAATAAATGTTTACCCCTCCCCCCAGGATACGAGGCGGAACACCTCCTCAAGCGGAAGCCGGACATCATCACCCCGAACGGTCTAAACGTGAAGAAGTTCTCGGCCCTTCACGAGTTCCAGAACCTGCACGCCCTCGCCAAGGACAAGATACACGAGTTCGCCAGGGGCCACTTCTACGGGTGGGTAGCTCAGCGCTGGGCGTGGGCGCTTTTAATATTGGGCTCAATGGAGACGCCAGGCTGCGGCATTCGCCAATTTTTTTTTTTCATGGTGAAAGGATATTGGCAACACAGAGGAGCTATAAAAGTGTTGCCGTTCTTTGGGATGGAAGTGGGATGACTTGTTGGTGTAATCAAATATGAACTAAATATAATACAATTGTCTTGTAGCCAATGTATTACAATCAGGTCATAATACAATTATAAAATCTAATTGTTAGTTTTGCAATATTAGTTGGGGGCATGACTCCATTTCGCGGTGGAAGGTGTACAAGAAGTTGTAATCTGCACTGGTAAATGTGGTTAATTTATTTAGGACTGGAGTTCATTTTGCATCAACCATTATTCTCCGTTTAAACGAACGTAGGTCTTTAAAATAAGCCGTGTTATTGGAAAATAACAATTAACATTACTATATCTAAGGTTCAGTTTACATAAACCGCCCTCTTTGCACTGCCGTAGCCATTTCAACTTCGACCTGGACAAGACGCTGTACTTCTTCATCGCGGGTCGCTACGAGTTCGGCAACAAGGGTGCGGACATCTTCATAGAGGCACTGGCGCGTCTGAACCACTATCTGAAGGTAGGTTCGTCTATCTGAATATTATATTCAACTAGCGACCCGCCCCGGCTCCGGGTGCAATGTATTATACATATAAACCTTCCTCTTAGATCACTCTATCTAGTAAAAAAAAAAAAAAAAAAAAACAGAAACAGAAAAGAAAAAAAACCGCATCAAGATACGTTGTGTAGTTTTAAAGATCTAAGCGCACATAGGGACAGACAGACAGCGGGACTACGGTTTTACACTATGTGGAGTGATGGAGGTATGGAGTGATATTCGCCGTACAGTCTTTGTGGCAATAACGAACCATAAGAACCACATTCGCCACTGCCCGAATTTGAGATTCCAACGTGTGCCTTCCGGGTCCAGACGCTTGAGCGACTAAGCCAACTGGTCGATATGCTCACCGCGCGATAATTTTAACAGGAAAACAGGAGTTAGTGGTACTTACCCGGACGAGAGGAGTTCTGTGAGGTAGTGGTACTTACCCGGATGGACCTGTCTATTCGTGCAAAAGTGAGGGCTCTGGTGTTGCTACCACGGGAATCACACCACTGACTCCAAATCTCTAATTCACTACAACATTTAATTTTGAGGAGTTCCCCAATATAACTCCGAAGCCCAAGGTCCATAACAATTAAACCCGGTCGTACCTACCCATTCTTGCAACAGCTGTGTTTCCTTGACTTTACAGAATTATAATTTTGACTAAAAATTTAGATCCGCTTTTCTCTTTCTCAGTCTCCCTCCTTCCTCTCATTCACTTCTCTTTTCCTTTCTCATTTTTTCGTCAGCTTTTTGGGGTTCCGCACCCAAAAGGTAAAACGGGACCCTATTACTAAGACTCCGCTGTCTGTCTGTCTGTCAAAGGCCGTATCTCATGAACCGTGATAGTAGTGGACGGTTAGTTTTTTTTGTTACCTATAAATAGACAATGGTATGGAACCCTCCGTGCGCGAGTCCGACTCGCACTTGGCCGGTTTTTTTTTGTTAGTATCCTTTCCATTCGTCCTTACAGTCGGTGGACTCTGACACCACGGTGATAGCGTTCCTGATCTTCCCCGCGAAGACGAACAACTTCAACGTGGAGAGCCTCCGAGGCCACGCGGTCACCAAGGCGCTGCGCGACACCATCCAGGACATCCAGCAGAAGGTCGGCAAGCGGATGTACGACGTGTGCCTCAGGTGATAAAGGCCAGAATCGCTTTTTGTTCGTTCGTTCATTCATTCGTACGTTCGCTCGTTCATTCGTTCATTCATCCATTCATTCATCGTTCAATCGTTCATTCATTCATTTTGGATTACCGACAAAGTTAAGTGAAGAAAAATTTTCATGGCGCCGAGTTACACATAACCTTAATAATCCTAGGTAGGCATAGCGTTACAATAGTATTTTTCGTGCTAATAGTTTAATTGCATTTAGTTTATGAAAAGGAAAAACCGGCAAAGTGCGAGTCGGACTCGCGCACTAAGGGTTACTACCATTATCTATAAAAAGGCAAAAAAAATCATGACTGTTGTATGGGAGCCCTGCTTAAATTTTTTTTTGTTCTGTTTTTTTAGTATTTATTGTTATAGCGTGTCAGGCAGACAGACACACAGCTTTTCTTAGTAACAGCGTCCCGTTTTACCCATTGGGTACGGAACCCTAAAATGGGAACATAACACAAATGTAAGAAAATAAATACAGAAAAAAATGTACCCATGCAAACCAAAAAAAAAACTCCAACGCCCCTTTTGACACTGTAGTCAAATACCAATTTTATATGTCCTTTAATTTTATACGTTTTTGTTAATTTTATACGTTATTCGGACCCGCTATCACCACAGCTGGGAACCATGCACCAGGGTCAAAAACAACACGACCGCTTGTACTAGAACTCACGATTCTCACTCCGCTCAGGGGCCACCTCCCGAGCCCGACGAGCTCCTCCACAAGGAGGACACCGTCCGCCTGAAGAGGTGCATCTACGCCCTGCAGCGGGACGGTCTACCGCCGGTCACGACGCACAACGTGGTGAGATTCCTTATTTGATGTGAGAAGGTGGCAACCGAGTTGGCGGTTCAACTATAAAAAAAATCGTGAAGGAAGTGAAAGTGAAGAAGCGAAAAGCATAAAAAGATAATGCGAGCCTAAATCGCCTGATGGTGAAGTAAAGTTTGATATATTTCAATGTGCACATATCTATCCACTTCTAAGAAAGTGAAGGAGGGAAAGCGGGAAAATCGAGAATGATATTGAAGTAGAGTTTGATATATTTTACTGAGCACTACCGTGCACTTTCCACCACTACCATGACACCGCCTGCAGACATGAGGCTAATGTTAATATTGTAAAAAAGCAATGCATCATTGCAAATAATATTACTTTATAAGCGACAGTTTACCGTGAGAAAGATAACATGTTTCATCGGTTTACTTACTGTTACACTTTATACAATCTGACAGAAGTTTCAGACAATGAGTAAATCGATAAGTAACTAGGCAATCGATTTGGTTAAGGTTCGCAGGTACAAGTTTCATAATTTACCTAATCGTATCTTATTACTGTAGTCTTGAAGAGCTGTGATAGCTCAGTGTCCGTGTTCTCGATTTTAATTCAATACACTCGAGCAATTTGGGTTCGAATCCTGGTGCCAGCACTGGTAAAGTTGTCATTTGCAATTTTATGTGTACTTTGAGGAAACCGATTGTCTCTTAGTTTTTGCTCAGAAGTAGAACTTATTTATACTGTTTCTACCATTGTGTCTAATATTTTCTTATTTATTAACCTTTTCCAGGTGGATGACTGGAGCGACCCGGTGTTGAATTCCATCCGCAGATGTCAGCTGTTCAATACTGTGAATGACAAAGTCAAGGTAAATATCTTCATTATGGTTAACTCACCTCTTGTTGTATATCTGGTATAACAATTAATGAAATAAGGTCAAGACTGGTACGATCTGCCTAGTCGAGTGATTTCTCAATGTGGTATTTTTATTTTATTTAATTGGAAATTTAAAATAATATGTTTAATATTTAATTGTAATGTTGTATGATAAAAAAGAGGATACCTACGGAGTTTCTTTCCTCTTTACGAAACGGTGGTGGATTTTAAAAAATAACTACCAATAGATGAAATTTGTATTTTTATATCGATGGGTAAATTGATTGATTTGTTGTATGAGTCTGAGCTTCGACTGATAGCATGAGTCTGAGCATTGACTGATTTATGAGACTGAGCTTCGACTGATTTATGGGTCTGAGCTTCGACTGATTTATGAGTCTGAGCTTCGACTGATTTATGAGTCTGAGCTTCGACTGTTTTATGAGTCTGAGCTTCGACTGATTTATGAGTCTGAGCTTCGACTGATTTATGAGTCTGAGCTTCGACTGATTTATGAGTCTGAGCTTCGACTGTTTTATGAGTCGGAGCTTCGCTTGATTTATGAGTCTGAGCTTCGAGTGGTTTATGAGTCGGAGCTTCGCTTGATTTATGAGTCTGAGCTACGAGTGGTTTATGAGCCTGAGCTTCGACTGATTTATGAGTCTGAGCTTCGACTGATTTATGAGTCTGAGCTTCGAGTAGTTCATGAGTAACCTTGACTGATCATACGTGCGCAGGTGATCTTCCACCCCGAGTTCCTGACGTCCACCAACCCGCTGTTCGGGCTGGAGTACGAGGAGTTCGTGCGCGGCTGCCACCTGGGCGTGTTCCCCTCCTACTACGAGCCGTGGGGCTACACGCCCGCCGAGTGCACCGTCATGGGCATCCCCAGCATCACCACCAACCTCTCGGGTGAGCCCCGCCCCCTTCGGCCCAGGCCACGCCCACAACGACAGGCGCCGCCCATACACACACACACACATACACATACACGTGTTTCGGTTTTGTCTCTGTGAAAAGTTCTAGCGGCTCAAGTTAATGCTAGAGATCGGACCTAAGATTATTTCAATTGGTCACAAAATGGCCACAATTGGTCAATTGATAATTGTTCAATGTTATTTACATTTTTTTTAAATGTGAAAAGTTGCCAAACGAGCAGACGGTTCACCTGATGGTAAGTGAATACCGCCACCCATGGACATCTGCCACACCCGAGGGTTACAGACGCTTTGACAACCTTTTGAAAGTTGGGCTCCGGCCACCTCACTCACCAGACTAAACGCGAAAGTATTTGTCATACTTCCACTTTACGCTGGTCTTCTGTGAGGTCGTGGTACTTACCCGGACGGTTACATGCTTTATGATTAGCATCACAAAGTAATAAGTATGCAATGTAAACCAAAGATCCTAGAAAGTTACGCAACACAAACAATTGATCAGAAGCTTGCAGTAATTAGTCAACTGTATAAAAATAATCAGACTTTGAAGGACGTTCCTATAATCATAGAACCTCAATTAGATGGGATGAACTGCCTACAGCGACAAAAACCGTAGAGAACAAACCGAACCAAAAACTACGCAAAACGTCAGTGTTCCAGCAATTGGTGAGATATAATATTTGGATGTCAATTAGAGCTGCCAAATGCTTATAAACATTTGGCAGCTTTGATTTACTTTTTTGAGCTTTTGATACATTTTTGAAAATTTAAACTGTCTAACTGTCGCGGTTCATGAGATAGAGCCAGACAATGACAGAGGTAATAGGGTCCCGTTTTACCCTTTGGCTGCGGAACCCTCTAAATATTTCTTAATCCGTGAAGTACGCGTGAGTACTACTGCACAGGCCTGTGTCCGTTTCCAGGCTTCGGCTGCTTCATGCAGGAGCACATCGCCGATCCGATGTCGTACGGCATCTACGTGGTGGATCGCCGCTACATCTCCCTGGAGGGGTCCGTCCAGCAGCTGGCCCAGTACATGTTCGACTTCACCAAGTGAGATGCGAACTCGAAATAAAATTTACCGTGCTTACCGTTCGACGAAAACCACCACTACCTGTTCGGAAAGCCACCGGCCTGAGAAGAAACTGACGACTCCGTGGCGCAGTTGCCAAGGTATTGGCTTCGGCGTCGGGGATCGTGGGTTCGATTCCCACACGGGACAACTATTCGTGTGACCCACAGACAGTTGTTTCGGTTCTGGGTGTTGGTCCGAGTGAAATTCATGTTTGTAAAACGTCCTCACAACACAGGACAATGTTATCCCAAAGTGAGGGCATTGTTTTATAAAAAAAAAAAGAGACGGCGTAAGAAACTCGGCGGGACGATTTTTCTTTTTACTTTTTTTTCGTAGTTCTTCCGCACACATCACACACAATTTTGTCATCCGACTTCTTTCTCGATTCGACTGTATTTTTTTTTATGTTTGTTCGTCAGAACTTTCGACTGGGTGATCCGATTTTAATGATTCTTTATTTATTTGAAAGCTGGTGCTTCCCATGTAGTCACATATTAATTTCATCGGTATTGGATCTTGGGCTTCGGAGATACGTAGGGAACTCCTGAAAATCAATTATAAAGGAATACGTAGTGTCTGCGCTACAGACAAGTTCAAATTATAAATAAATTTAAAATTATTAATATGTATAAATTAACGTGTAAACCATAGACTGCCTTTATACTTGTAACACTCGCGTTGGAAGTCGACCGTTATATTTTAAATATATTCGCTTATAAATGGTTAACGACTCACATTCAAATTTGTCCATTCGCACTGACTTCCAACCGTAACGGACTCACATTCGAATACAAACTAATTACTTTTTAGTTGAAATTATATTAATTTAACACCTTCAGAAGCGTTAAATTCTTCTTCCTTGTTCTATCCTGAACACAGAGCGAGATATTTGAAGTCGCTTTTGGTTTTAGTCAATTTCGTTACTGTTATTACATATGTATAAACACTCGGACACTACAAAAGCTCAATGTTCATCACACCCAAGAGTCGAACCCAAGAGATAGGTTACGTAGAAGACATTGTCTACTGTGCCGTCCCCACTTAACTTTTTGTGTTTCACAGGTTGACCCGTCGGCAACGCATCATACAGAGGAACAGAACCGAACGGCTCTCGGACCTTATGGATTGGAGGAACCTCGGAATTGTAAGATCTCGACACACCTATTTGATACTTTAGGTTTTAGATTTATATATATTATAAAGCCTAAAGAGTAGACAGAATGTGTATGCAATGTGTATTTTGTGTGAAAGGACTTGGGTAGTAAGACCGAACTGCCACTGCGACCTAGAAAGACCAGTTGTAGTCTTCCCTTCGAAGGTATATCCCCCTCACTGAGGGGGAAATGCCTACGCATACCCGCCCTCGCGGGGGCGAGAGCGACGATATTCCGCCTAGGCGCATATCGGCAGGGTCACGGGAACGCTTTCGCACACTTCCGCGACCCTGCCAGCGCTGGCCGCTAGCAGCCCCCTCGGCTTCCTACTCGGCCCCATTTTCACAGCCAACGAACTCCCCCGAGTTCGCTGACCGGGGCCATGGGAGCCAGGAGAGCCAGTAGCTAATAAGCAGCAAGCCTCCCAGCCCTCAGCGGCGGACCTGGTCTGTGGCTCCGCCGCTCACCACGTTTCGGCCGCGGAGGATAGGGAGGAACAGCGCACCGCAATACCGACACTCCTCTCCCCCCGCGGCCCCATCACAGCTGCATCAGCGGTGCAGCCCCGCCGAGTCGCGGAGGATAGGGAGCACGGCCAACGCAATACCGACACTCCTCTTCCCCCCGCGACTCCTCCTCGGTAGCAGAAGACAGGGAGAGTGGCTTCACCTCTACCACCCTCGACCTGTCCCCTGCATCCTCCAGCACGCATCCAGAGTGGGCTCAATGAGCCCACTCGGAGCGGCCCTCTCGGGCCGGCCTTATACCACAGGCCGGCCCAGTGTGGGTTCCTCTTAGCTTCGCCGTGGGGGACCAAGGCCTTGACGTAGTAGCCGTGGACTAAGCCCCTCCGCCACGTCAATGGGGGAACCCGGTCGGAGGGGAAGGAAAGTAATCGCCTGCAAAAAGCCTATTATATCTTTGTATATTTTCTTGATTCATCATCATCATCATTTCAGCCTGTCAGACTGCTGAACTTGCACAGGTCGTCACTCCATCTAGTGGGGGGTCGCCCTACACTGCGATGGCCAGCACGAGGCTGCCACTCGAGAACCTTTCTTCCCCAACGGTTATCGGTTCTACGAGCTATATGGCCGGCCCATCGCCACTTCAGCTTGCTAATCCTCTGAGCTATGTCGGTTACCTTGGATTCTTCTGCGGATGTCTTCGTTACGAACTCTATCACGCAGAGAAATACCGAGCATAGCCCGCTCCATAGCTCGCTGAGCGCCTTTTTTCTTGATTAATAAATTGAAAAAAAAAAAAAAAAGCAGACAAGTTCTTCAGTTATATGATAGATCTATTCCTTACGAAGTTGACCGTAACTACTGATTATTTTCTTTTCTTTATTTTTTTTAAAACATTGCTCACTTTAGGATAACATTATCCTGTGATATAAGGACGTTTTACAAACATAAATTTCCCGCGGACAAACACCCAAATGCGAAACAACTATCTGTGGGTGACACAAATAGTTTCCCGTGTGGGGATCGAACCCACGACCCCCGACGCCGAAGCCAATACCGTGGCAACTGCGCCACGGAGTGGTCTCATTAAACTTTGGACCTTGAAACTTGTTGCAATCTGTTGCAGTACTACAGGCAGGCGCGCGCCCAGGCGCTGAAGATCGTCTACCCGGACTACGTGGACCACATGGACATCGAGCTGGGCAAGCGGTTCAACTACCCGCGCCCCATCTCGGAGCCGCCCAGCCCCACACACTCCAGTCAGTGCAAACCGCAAACACACAAACACACAACACTAACCATGATACCATGTTGACAAGTGGATACTAAAACTATAGGGACGAATAATTGTGCCTCTGAACTTGGTCCAAATCATTACGCATTGCGGAGACTATCGCCCTCTCGTTCTCACCGCTGTCCGAATTGCCTCTTGTCTCTCTCGCACACATTGCGGTACAGTCGCGAACGATGAAAGAAAGAAAGTAGAAAGAAAGAAAACATTTATTGCCAATTACGCCATATGTACATTTAATCGCGAAGAATGAAAGAAAGAAAGAAATAAAACATTGCGCAAATACGCCACAGGTTACATTTAAACAACAATGACGTCCACGAGTTTTACGCTACACGAGTATACGTGAACGTATACACGTGTAGCGTAGAACCAATTTCACTCCGATTAAAGCGATTAAGACAGCGGTGCGAAAGAGAGGGCAATAGCGCCCTCGAAGCGGTGCAACGATCCGAACGACCTTAGCCTTTATCGGTCGCGAGCGAATCCGAACCTTATTTCGTACGCGAGTAAAGCCAAAGCCCGACCGACGCAGTGCGACGGGAGGGCCGGCTGTCGCCGTCGCACGCGGCCGAGTGCGAACGGAGAGGGACGAGAGACGCCGCGGTCCAGTGCGAGTGCGGCCGGGGCGGCAGCGTGCAGCGCTCGCTGGAGCTGCTGCAGATAGACTGCGAGGCTGCGGAGGGGCTGGAGGTCGGCTTCGAGAGGCCGTTCGCCGAGGCCGAATTGGCGGACGACAATTACCGGACGCCGAACGAGAGCTTCCTGGAGCCGCTGGCGGAGGCGGTGGCCGAGCAGATAGACGAGCTCATCTCGAAGCTGAGCGCGTGCGCCGACGAGGGGAAGGCGGACTAGATTTGGCGGTACAGTCGCCGCCGCACAAACGAGCTCTGAGCGCAATGGATAGCGCAGCGGTTGCAATTGTGTGTGACACAGTAGGGGTCTGTGCGGGGGCTGGTACACTTGCAGCGAGAAGTTTGGTTGTATATGAATCATAGAGTACAGTCGACGTCTTGTATGTGGTGTTATGGCGGCTTGCCGTTGTTTGAGCTTATGCGTGCGCCGGGGACAGGAAGACGGACTAGCTTTATGTACAGTGGTACAGTCGACGCCGCACAAACGACCACTGAGCAGAATGGATAGCGGATGGGTTGCAATTGTGTGTGACACAGTAGGGGTCTGTGCGGGGGCTGCTACACTTGCACGCGATAAGTTGGTTTGGTTGTGAAGCAAAGAGTACAGTCGACGTCCTGTGTTTGGTATTATAGTCGGGTGATAGCGCTGCAATTGTGTCTGTATTCAGGTGACACAGTAGGGTTCTGTGCTATCGCGAGAGTTACTGTTGCACTTGCAAACGAGAAGTTTAGGTTTGCTGTGAAGAATAAAGTACAGCCGACGTCCTGTATTTGGCGTTATGGCGGTTTGGTCGTATCACAGTCGTTGTTTGAGCTTATTCACAGAGTGAATTGAATACACACGACAGCGAATTAATTATCACATAATTATTTTTGGCATCGCAACGCGGTTAAATCCAAAAAATCTAATTTCTTTTTAGCGTCACCGCAGACGGTATGGTTCGTAAATGGTATTTTTAAAAATACTGTTCGCAGGATGTTCTATCATGTTTACTATACCTTTAATAATTAACGAATATTCTTTCAGTCACAGAGGCTATTAGCTAGACTCATGATCGTAAAACTTAAGTAATCGTTAGTTTTATCACGGCCTATATATTCTTAATAAACATCATTTAAAAGGTTACGGTCAGTTGTACACCGTAGTTTCCCACGTAGCTTAGTAAAGCACCTAGCGTGGAGAGTTGCATCACGTTTTTTTTTTAATTTTTCCACCTTAGGCAAAGGGCGTGGGCATTCGGCCGGTGCAGACAACTGTGATAATTTCGATTTTCCCTTTCAGGGGCGACTACTCCAGCCGCCTCCGTCCACGGCTCCGATGACGAGGACGAGGTGGACGAAGAGAAGGAGCTCGCCGAGTTGCGGATAAGCGACAATTAGTCACTAAGTAGCTGGCACATTACTAACTTAGTATGTACAATAGCTCATCGAGTTATATCCGGGAACTTACCGAGATAGTTAACTTTCCTTTTAAACCTTTAGTTTTACAAAACACTCATAGTTATTCATACGATCGGAACAGTGCGCATTCCCACGTATATGTCTACTTATATATGTGATGGTTTTTTAAGCCAATCACAGATGTGATGTCATGTAAGAAAAAATTTGATGCATATGCCAAACGGTAAAATAAGTTTCCTTTTATCTAACTGTGTAAAACACCCATGAGTTTTCATGCGTGTTTTACGATCAGAGCTGTGCGCATTCCCACGTTTATGTCATTTTGTAGGTGTGATGGTTTTTAAGCCAATCAAAGATGTGATGTCATAAAAGAAAATTCTTAACGCATATGCAAAAATTGTAAGTTTATTTATCTAACTGTGTAAAACACCCATGATTTTTCATACGTGTTTTATGTCTAGATGGTTTATATTTTAAGCCAATCATAAACGTGACGTCATATACAAAATGGAATGGCATATGCCAACCGCAAAGTAGTAAGTCAAAAGTCAAATACTTGTAAAGTATTGAAAGTCATGGTTTGTTTTACATCGTAATAGATCATATAGGGATATATTTTTGTATGAGTGAATGAAAACCCATTTCAACTCATTCATTTCATATACTGAATGAATATTAACAGTAGTTATCGCATTCTATTTTATTATTATTGAAATGAGCAAATTTTATTTTTACAATAATTGTATTTTTAAACGCCACATGGTTTATTTATATTTTTAATAATGATAAATTTATATTTCTTATGGAAAATTCTTTTTTATAAAAATTATTACTCAATTTGCTTCAGCAAATTGTTACCAAGAAGAACGTATTTTATATGGAATATGCCTCGAAACTTAGTAATCATAGTCAAATACAATTTGCACTAATTTAATTGTTATCGCACAAATGTCCTTAATTAAACAATTATTACGCCATTAATTTCGTAATATGGCGTTTATCGCAATAATGTTCATTACGCAATAAATGAATGATTCATACATTAAATTAGCAATAATTAAGATCAATTTTTTTTATAGATTAATTATTTAGATAGCAATATTTGTTAAGAGTTTGCTTTTTGGAAATCTTTAGTCGTAGGATTGAATTTATTATTACATAATTACGCAATTGCTGTTTTGCTGCGTTGCGGTTAAGCATTCTTTAATAATCAGTGTTTGTCCGTGATTGTAAGCCCCTTTTTCCATTATATATTATATATACAGCAAAAAAAAAAATAGATAATATAGAAAATTTCATATACACCCGTCACTATATCTATTTACTTAGAAACAAACCAACGAAGAGGTTTTATTATACGCTACTAAACTCCAATATGTGATAAGCTAGCCTCTCTTATTTGATTTTATACAGGAATATAGTTTATATACAGGGATTTTATTGATATTTTTATAATGTTTTTTCTCCATCGCATAAACGAATTATTGGTATTTTCCCTCTGTTAGTGATACTGATGAAATTTACATTAACAAAGTACGGTTGTTATATTTTTAAAACTTGCCGGGTGCATATCGACGCAAGAAAACATATTTCTTTCAACCTACTAAATAGGGACTTTGAACCAGAGGCCAAAATATTTTTAGGACAAAACTTAAAAAAATTTCCTTTTTCTTTATTAACACGTAGCTTGTAAGATATTTATTTTTACATATTTCGTCTTATTTGAAAGTTATTCTCCTGTTTCCGGGTGGGGTAAATATTTTTTCTAACGTCGGTACTTTTCACTTGGCAGCTGTACACGGCAGCTCAATAAAGATATGAGTTATATTTTTTGTACGAAACGTGGAAATAAATATTTTATCGATGGTTTTTCTGTCTTGAAACCAATTATACAATTTGCATGAGATATTATTTACAATGTTTACAACTTCGGACTTATTTATCGCGGTGTCAAGAGAGCCTGTTGTATTTTTTTATGAAATATATTTTAGAAACAACCGGATCTCTTGTCATCAATATCTTGCCAATTTTGAGGGTTATATTTATATGTTTATAAAGAATGTTGTGATTATCAATGCATCAATTAATTATACATATATTAAAATACTTTATATGTTGTATGAAATAATTATGAATTTGTCATATGTTGTAAATCTTATCACACTTGGAAGCTTTTAACATTTAAGATTTATTATACAACTATGTCACGGAGAATATATTTACAATTTTTTTTTTACATATTCTATCATATAAAATTTTTATGTCTTTGTATGGTTGCGTATGTTAATTTCGTTTTAAGCTTTGTACTCAATGCTTGTGTCTTAGTTTCGAGATATAAAATGAGATATTTTTATAATTAATTAAGTCGATCCAACTGCCATAAATAAGATGTAACTTAGATCGTTCCTACTCTAATATAGCTTGATACGTCCTGTATATTGTAACCAACTGTCTCTTGTCTTCTAATTATTGTTCGAATTTTTCCTATAAAACTCCTGTGTGATTTAACTACCTCCTCCATAGACGTTAAGGGTTTATGAAAAATATCGAAGCAATAAAATATACGAAAACTACATTTGAAAATAAGAGACTGAACGTTCTGTGTCTTTCTGTCTTCTTAGCGTTTGTCCCGTTCTTTTATGGGGTCTCTCTTTCTAACTGTCAACGTGTCTCAAATTCTGATTGGTATAGAAGTCGAAAAGGGCATAATGCCCGTTGATATGAACTCTACTGTATGTTAAATTAATTTCTAGCCGGATTTATTTAATTCTTTTACAATGGTTATATGAAAACGAATATATGGGAATATTTTATTGGAAAAGTATCTTGCGCATAATTTGTTTTTACACCTTCCTGTGCCATACAATCCGGAATTGTTATTTAATCTTTTAGCAATAAACGTGTTCAATTTTTTTCCACTGCGTTTTATTTAATTTTATTGCGGCATCAGTGTTTGTTACAAATCTCCTTCCTATAATCCTGTGTTCTCGCCCAACGATTTAAACTATACTTTTTCCTGCCCTTATATGGTTTTTACGACCAGCCAGGCGGCCTTACGTAAAAACAATAAAGACTTCTTGATGTCAACCCTCCTTGGGAATAAACACCCAGATCAATTATTTGAACGTTTACTTGTGGGTCACACAAATACTTTTTTTTTATGTGAAAGTTGCCAAGCGAGCAGGCGGTTCACCTGATGTTAAGTGAATACCGCCGCCCATGGACATCCGCTACACCCGAGGGTTGCAGGTGCGTTGACAACCTTTTGAAAATTGGGCTCCTGCAACCTTAGTCACCAGAAGAAACGCAAAAGTGTTATATTTCCACTTGACGCCGGTCTTCTGTGAGGTCGTGGTACTTACCCGGACGAGCCTGCCCATACGTGCAACAGCCGAGGCTGCTGCGTGGCCCTACCACCGTTAAAAAAACTTGTCTCGTATTGTAATTGAACCCACGACTCTGCGCTGAAGCTTAGAAACTGCACCTCCAAGTCGTCATGCAAAAATTTAAACGTTTAAAAATAAGAGTATGGTAACGACTCTATTGGACAAGTCAGATATTGTGTAAACAGATATTAGATTTTAAAAAATTGTTGCACCCTCCCTAATGATGAATTGGATCCTGAAAAGAATTTTACGAATTCAAAAAGGAGGAGGTTTCCAACCCCGTTTGTTTTCAAGCTACCTCGGTTCTCCGTCATTAATAAACCAATTTGGAAAAACATTTTTTTTGTGGGAAATGACATTTTCAATTGGATGCCATTTTTATTTCATCGGAACTGGACCTTAAATTTCGAAGGCAGCTTCTAAAAATTGA